TGACTCAAATCTGTAGTCCGATTATGGCGAAATTGTATCAACAAGGTGCACCTCAAGGGGGACAACAGATGCCCGGAAGCTGCGGACAACAAGCAGGCGGTTTCGGAGGACGGAGACAAGGTGGACCAACCATTGAAGAAGTCGACTAAGCCGTCGAATAATAATTTTAATTAATATTTGTTTTTGTTCTTTCTTATTTTATTAAATGTGATTGTACTTATATTTTGTAAATAGTAATATTTAAAATTAATTTTCCTATTAATTAAGTAGATAGTGACTGCATTAAATTTAAAGACTGATGTAAATTAAAAATTTGCAATAAACTTTTTTTTTTAATTTTAAAATTAGTTGTTATTTATGAAGAATGACTGGAAGTGACTGGATGTCCTCCTTCCAAATTTAATAAAATAATAAGCATGGACTCTGTTAACATTAAAATGATAAAAAATAATAGTTATTAATGAGTTTTACAATATATTTTATTCACGCAAAAGTTTAAACGCGAAAACGAAATTCGAGCGTTTAATTAAGTGGATAAAATATATTATAAGATGCAATACAAAGTTTTATTTATCCACAAGCAGACAATATAGAATCAATAGTTGCCAAACAAGATAGAGTTTGGTACATCATAGAACATGTCCTATGAATTTGCAATAGGAATAGTATACCCACTTAGTATACAATGTTTTACCCTACTTCCTACCAAAACTTTTAAAATTAAATAAAAAAAGGAACTTCTTACGAGCCCCAACTGGTCAGCTACCTCAACTTCAAAAAATACTTTCTTCAGCATTGTAATTTTTTTTTACTTTTCACTTTGTTGAAGTTAGAGGCTGGCGACACAATAAAATGTTTGCTAATTAGTTTTTGGTGTGCTGTTTTGACATTTATATTCATTTTTGAAAGAAGGTTGACAACAGACAAAATTACACAGGGAAACTACTTTTTTTTGACAAAAAGATGATGTTTCAAAATGACATTACAGTTGGAGACGAAATACTTTGGTCACTTTTCTGACACTTTAATGTAATTCAAGCTTTAATGAATGACAATTTCAAATTAATGACAGCTACTATATCTTTCATTCAAAAATATGTACAACTCGTCAACTATGATTGACAGTACCTAAAAAAAGGTCCTAAAGCATACTTTACAATATAGTGTCACTCAAATGACATTGACGACCAAAGTATTTTGTCTCCAACTGTACCTACCAAAATTTAATGATCAACAAAATCGACATTGTACTTTTCTGTCCCCATAGAATAAGGATCTTTACTGCATAGAAATGCAGTGCAGCGGTTTTAAAGATGTTTTACTGCACAAGTGTGCTAGATATTAGTAGGTAAAAATTGGCTGCATTAGTTGAAGCGTTGGCAGTATAAAGACATACTACTTTGTATCTAGTATGTCCATCAAGAATATAGGGTGTTACGCAGGTCAATAGAAACTTTTTAAGAGAGGACTACACTTAAGTACTGTTGCGGAATTAAAATTTCAGGCAGTATTGTCATTTTCATAATGTAAACTCTAAAACAACCTTTACATTAATAACCTCATTTTTCACTCTTGTCATGTTTATGTAATGACTTATTTACTTTCAAAAATAGTGATTTCTGGCATAATAACGGGTAGGCAGCAGATCAAAGCGATGATTTAATTACACTTAGTTCAATTAATAAACTTCCTAAGACAAACAAATTGTTTAATTAACAATTTTAACAACAAAAAAAATGCTATGATTTAAAGAAACCACGATGCAAGTGAATTTTTTTCACACTGATCAAAACACACAAATACCGCAGAGCACTTGCACGAATGAGTAAGAATATAAATTCTACACGGTCAGCTGATGCGAGCCATGAGCGCCGCCATATTGGCCTTGGCTACTCTACCGAGCGACTTTCACTTTATCCCTACTCCGCGGCCGGCTGTAATGCCACATGCGATAGATGGACAAAAATTTTTGAGGCGATGGAATAAAAGTTTCACTTTTTAAAGTGACAGAAAAATATTGTCCGATATTTTAATTCCGCAATTGTACAGTCAATGCACACATAAAACGGATACAAAAATGACAGTCATGTACCTAAATTGAAAATTGTGTATTTTCTCTGTTAAATACGTTAAGCGTGATCTAAGTGTTCTAAGTTCAGTTAATAGTCAAAGTTTTTTTTTTTATTCATTTAAGGAATACTAAATATTTGTTTGAAGCTTTTAGAAATTATAAAATAGAATAAAACGTTGTATGACCACGGGCATAATTGTCGATTATTGCCCTCGGGAATTTAAACATTCTCTCATGCCATTATTATCTCCTAATTATGCATTTAATACATAAATCGTTTCAAAATAAATTTTTTTAAGAGCCAGTTTACAGAACGCGAAATTAAAATTTAATTCAGAATTAAACTAATTCGAATTAAGTTGCTATTTATTTTGCATTGACAAATGTCAAGTTAAATAAAAATGATTTTTTTTTAATGAAAAATTTAACAAACCATTTCTTGAAGAAACTTATGCATTAATAATGACATTGACGAAAAAACAAATCATTATTAATTTAATAGATTTTTTAACTGTTTTTCGAAATAAAATTAATTAACATAATTTTTGTTCGAAATAGGCCTTCTCTATTTTGTGTAAAACAACAAATGAATTAAACCATTCTTTATTTGCGAGAAGAAGGTTTAATACCGCGTGTCCGTATATCGCGAGTGGTTTAATTTTTTGAAAAAATAAATAGGTTTAATTCGCGTGTTTTATACCTACATCATTTTATTAAATTTTGTATAAATTGTTACTTTGGAATATAAACAATATGAAGAGAGTTTTAGAAACTGTGAATTGGAGTTGCTAGGGAATTTAATAGATAATAGCCACTAGTGTTCATTTTTTTGTAATAATAATAAACAAGTCAAAAATAATAGTTTGACAAATCTAATATAAACTAATTCTAATCTAATTTGTTTTGATGTCAAACCTAAAAAAAAACGTTTTAAAATAAAGAAATCCTATTTACTACAAAAATTATGTTGCTTAATTTAATTTTGGACAACACAGTTTATCAAAAAAATGTATTACATTAATAATAATTTGTTTTTTGTCAATTTCATTCATAATTTTCTTTAATAATTAAATAAATAATTTTTATTCGTTTTCAATGAGAGGTAGTTACAAAAGTAATAGGAAACTTAGGGCCGGTTAACAGAACGTGTTAATCGCAATTAAATTTTAATTCGCGATTAACTTGACGTTTGTCAAGTTAAACAAAATAAATGGCAACTTAATTCGAATTAGTTTAATTCTGAGGTAAATTTTAATTTCGCTTTCTGCTGAAAGAATTAAGCCACAAGCGGTAAATTTACAGGATGAGCCAGAACTCGCGCCCCAGAGAAAAATGCCATATAAGGTAAGATACCAGGAACATGGAAAAAATGTTAAAAAAATTTTATCTATAAAAATTTCGAAGTTATGAGGGCTTAAAGTTTGCACTTTGACTCTATTTATTTCTGTTGGAAAAATAATTTTCCAAGTTTTTTTGCTACAGGCTATTAAAAGAGGAAACAAGAAAGTTGTATCCAAAATAGTAACTATGTTCAATGTTATTTGTGGCTTTTATTGGCAAAATTTTTGTATTTTTATTAAATAATTGTAAAAAAAAACATATACAAGATCGTCAGTATCATTAAATACGTATAAAAAATGTCAAATGTCAAAAATTAAATGTCAAATTTTTTTGACAGATAGAATTTTTTAAACATTTTTTTCATGTTCCTGGTATTTTACCTTACTTGAAAATTTTCTCTGGGGCGCGAGTTCTGGCGCATCCTGTATAAGTACAAATAATCTATTAGTCATTGGTATAACTATTTATATAAAAAAAATTTAATTGGGTTTAGTAAATAAATACAAAAAATTCTATCTATAAAAATTTAGAAGTTATAAGAGTTTAAATTTTGCACTTTGACTTTATTTATTTCTGTCGGAAAAAAAAATTCCAAGTTTTTTTGCTACAGGCTATTAGAAGAGGACACAAGAAAGGTCTATCCTAAATTGTAACTCTGTTTAATGCTATTTGTGGCTTTTATTGGCAATATTTTTGTACATTTACTAAATAATTATAAAAAAATATTTACTCATATATCAATTTTTTTGACAGATAGAATCATTTTTTTCATGTTCTTGGTATCTTACTTTACTCAAAATTTCATCCACATCCACAGCAGGGGTTGGTTTATTGAGACGTCATTTTCACTGTATATAACTGTTACAAAAAATTATTGAAATCAAAAAGCCTACGTTTGCATATATTCATAATATTCATTAATAACGCAATTTTTAATAAGGAAAACCTAAAATAACTGAGTAATGCCTAAGGTATTTTCTTCTTATAGGTACTTATATAAATTTTATATTTTGTAGTATCTATGTGTATATCTTGTTTTAAATTTGATTGCTAAAATGCATATGATAAGATTTTTATAAGGGAAATAATAAATTGCAATATGTTTAGTTTTAAGGAATTTATGACCAATCTGTGAGATCATACTGTACTTTATGAATTATGATAGCAGAGAACACAATTCTCATTTCTGTGTTTTTATGTGTTAGTGTATTTCTGCAAGATAAGTGGTAATTGATTTCTATACAATATTAGCGCAACCAATTTTTCGAATTAATTAGTTTTGGTCAAGTAAAATTTGTCCCGGCGCATCCGCCACATTGATTTTATGCTCTTTCATTATTTTTCTCAACGTACTTTTTTACTTTGTATTTCTCTACTGTAGCTCAATTTCTTTTAATTTTGTTTCTTTTGTGTCATATAACTACGCAACCATTCGTAAAATTCAATAAGAAACTAAGCTGTATTATTATATGTTGAGGAATAAAAACGTAACAAGCAACAAGGCGTTTATTTTGAAACCCTATTATAAAATACACAATTGATACTTTGGAAACATTATGTCTTATTAAAAATTCAAGTTGTTTGAGGGCTCAAGTAAACTTGTATTTTTCACATTGATAATATCTAAGCTTATAATAATTTATCACTAGACAACAATTGTTCACAGTTCAGTCGCATGCGTTCCATTTCCCGACATCCTGAAACGTAACAAAAATCCTGGCTTAAATTAATATCACATTATTGCTTTCGTCTTGTCTTTATACATACGTCGTGTGCATTTCGGACGAGGGGGCCCACTGTGCCAGAATTTTATGCTTAAAAAGCTGCCCGAAAGTGGTCCTGAACATCCTGTTCATGCAGCAGTAGAGGATGAAGTTGATGGCGCCGTTAATCAGCGCTAGAATATCCATAATCTCCCCATACAGCAAGTAACATCTGACGAACAAATCCTTGCCTTTGATGGCGATCAACAGTGCGAAGATCCCTTGTGGGAACTCCGTGATGAGAAAAAGGGTCAACACCGCCACTAGCATCTTCGTGGTGCGGTCGGCGCGTCGCTCGGCCTTGGTCGCCTTCTTCTTGGTCTCGCGGGGGGCCCGCAGCGGCACGCAGTCGTAGCCCCGCAGCACCTGCTTGCGCTTCTTGGCCTTGAAGAGGGTGTAGATGAGCCAGAGGCTGATCACCGTGAGGATGCAGCAAGGGAGGAGTTTCATGAACACGGCGTAGGTCCAGAATTGGAGCCGCAGGAGGGAGCGGTCGTTCTTAAATGTGTCGGTGAGGTCGGTGTGGTAGAGGATGACCTGCTGGTTGTCCTCGGTGATTTCCTCGCCGATGATGGTGAATGTGATGAAGTTGGGGATGCAGAGGATTATGGGGATGATGTAGCTGAGGCTGATGGCGATGGTGCAGCGCGAGTCGGAGCACAGGATGCTGCTGTATTGGGGGTACCTGGAATTTGTTTATAGAGAGTGACAGATGAAATTAATTTCGGCGTCAATCATTGCACCAACAATAACAAATTTTCAAACGTTTCTTTCAAGTTGATTTATCGAAGATAGATGAAATGACGCATCATTTATTTTCGAATCGGTGAGAATTTTAAATAAATCGGGTTTATTTTTGATGGATTTTAAAAAATCTTATCATTTGTTTGAGTTTACATTATTTTGCTTGAATTATTGTCAGAGGTGTATTTAGGAATTTCAACTTGGACTAGAAAAATGTGACTGCTATACAGGGTGCTGCATTTTGGATGTGCGAATAGGGAATCTCCGAAACTAAGAGGTTTAGCCAAAAACGAGTGATACATTCTGGGGCTCATTTTTTGAGAAAATAATATTGGTGAAAACCGCATCCTGCTATCGTCTTTTGTTTTCGACTTATAGACAAAAGTTGACATTTTAGCGAAATTAAAAAAAAATCATATCTTTGTTATTATAAAAGATACAGCTTTGAAACACAAACATTGTAAGGTACTTTTTACAGTATTTCTGTACTCTTCTATTACTAGGTCAATTTTCAACTCTAAGATCGTAAACACCCTGTATAAGTTAAGACTATGGCATTTTTTTGATAATAAAAACGATGTTGTAACTTTTATATCTCAGAAACTATAAATACTAAATTAAAGCGAAAAGACTTATTTTGACTTCTTTAGACATGTACCTACTATCATAAAATTTCTGCACAACTTTTAAAATCATCCTGTATAATTGCACTAAATAAAGTGTAACTTCACTTTACTCGTAGTCTTACTTATGCTACTTTTTATTTAAGCAATTTATAAACTACTCTTATTCTGTTGAAGCAGAGGATTCTAATACTAAAAATTAGACGTACCAAACTTTTGGTGTCAAAACTTCTATTACTGACTTTCAGCATAGTACATCCGGGGAAAAAACTATTCACCAGTCTAACTTTGTACTCGGGCTGTGCTTTGCCGCAATAGCGTTTCAGACTAATTAGTTGGAGGGCAGGTAATATGTCAAAAAACCCTTATTTAGAAAGTTGGTCCGGACTCGAAAAATGTCTTTTTGAGAAAATTACTTCAATGAGCATAGATTATAACGTATACATTAAATTGTGATTATAATAAACAAGCTTGCTCAAATTATTAAATTGCAAATACATAAATTTATTTAAGAAATATATTTTGCAAATTTACAGTATGTCTTTTGATTTTACGCCAAAACTGCAAAGGAAAAACATTTTTAGCTTGACTTGACTTTTAAGGTTCTTTACCTAAAGCTGTAGCAGCTTTCAAAAGTCAAGACTGTGAATTTTGCCAATTTCTATCAAGTTATTTCTTTATAATCAAAATTCTGAACTTAATAATACATTTTATAATAAAAAAAAAGGTAAAAAAAAAGGTAAAAAGGTCCACCACGTTACGTTTAAGAAATATGTAATTAACAAAAATACAAAAATCGCCAAGAAACATATTAAAAGTGAGTTATTTTACTTGGTTTTATTATACTTTTTGGCTCAGTTTTCTTTTTTTTGCAATAATTAATTCAGCAACAATTTGAATGTAAATAAATTTTAAATTGGAGGCATTTGTGCAGAAAGCAGGAAAATTATCGTCTGTAACAAAAAAGTGTGACGTGATAGAAAAATTTAACAATTATTTTTGTTTAATTAAAGGTAAGTTAACATAAAAATAATAATTCGATTAAAGGTCGTATTGTTTGTAGACTAT